AAATTAATATCTTGTTAACGAATTTTGCGAATTTTGCAAAATGGTAGAGGACTTTTCGATTCAGTTTAGTCCGTTCTACCTACCCATGAACGGTCATACACCTATTATGAGACACCCAGTATATATATATATATATTTAGAAATAACACATTTTCGAATCAGTCTAATGGTGAGAAATATAAAAATGAGATAGATAAATGATGTAATAAAAGACAACGATAATTGCGTAAAAATAATATGCACAATAACATTTACCAAGTTTATTTCTAACAAAGTTTAGGATCTAAAAACCGAATAGTTAATAAATCTTATAATTTTAATTATTTTACAGGTTCCTAATTTAGAGCAACTGTCTCAGAACGAGTTTAATACGCTCTACAACAAAACTGTTCGGCAGAACATTCTTCGAAATTATTATTCTAATAATTTGAGTAGTGAGTCCAGCCAAAATTATCAGGAAACTGCTAGTAACCAACAGCTACAAAATAGTATCACCGGGAAGAATCAGTCTATTCAAGGACACACTTGTGACTTTAGTCCTTATTTAAAACAACCACCGATTTATAATCCTCCACCTCCTCCTACTACTACTAGAAGCCCGCTTAAATCTAGCCAGAGTTATGTGCAAAGTCATTATCCCGCAGCCAAATGTAACTTGAGTGCACCTTCCAATCTGTTACAAGCTGAAGCTTCTACATCGACTAGAAGTGCATTAGCGACTCTGAATGACTTTGCTGCTGCCAAGGTGAATCTATTGCAGGTCAATCAGCATTCAATCGGCACAAGTCCACCGCTCACAGCAGCTTCCCAGCAATTGGTAATGTCATTGAGCGACGAATTTAGAGCGAGCAAAATCTTGAAAGTGCAAAAAGAAACCGTAGATGCGTCGCAGCAGGAAGTATTAGCTGCGTTACAGGCAACCGGTTGGGATACAAATCAAGCCGCCAAACAGATCGCGAAGGACAGGCAGGCCAAACTTGAGACTCTTATGAGGTATGTATCTTAAGATTTTTCAATAAATCGATTTATTTTTGTGAAGATGTTTGCGCTGTAATTAAAAATATACATATATAACTATGATAGAACAATCAGTAGTCGTTGTGCAAGATAATCGTTGTAATGCAAAATCCATATAATTTTCGAAACACTATATAACGCGATAAAGAAAAAGCATATTGTACATGATAATTTTATATGCATAGAATTTTATACACACAACAATGGAAGAAATTATTTTTTTAAATTATTTTTTTTTTTTTTAGGTTATTTTTTCAAGAGGTTATTAGAAATGATTAAAGTATCAACTCTAATTTCGGTATTAGTGTTAACTAAATCGGATATTATAAGATATTATTAAGATATTATTTTAATCCAGTATTGTATTTAATCTCTTTTTTTTAAATAGACAATTTTATTGTTTTATTTTAAAAAATTATGATTTTATTAAAAACTATTAGCGATTAAGGTTGCGAAAAAACTGACTTTTAAAATTATAATTAAAATTTAGAAAGAACATATTTAGAAAAAAAGCATTGATTAAAATGTAATTAATAAAAAACTAAAACCGCAATAAAAAAAACTAATGGAATTTTTCTAATACAGGGTAAGGCGCTTATAACACCTGAATAATTTCTGAATGGTTCGAGATATTGGATGAGGATTACAATAGCATTATGAAATCTATTATTTAACTTTGAAAACACCCACTTCAACCCTCCGAGAGGGACGGGG